GGATTGTGGGAAGGCTTTTAGTTATAATTCAAGCCTGCTTGTACATCGGAGAATCCACACCGGAGAAAAGCCCTTTGAATGCAGTGAATGTGGAAGAGCTTTCAGTTCTAACAGAAACCTCATTGAACATAAGAGAATCCACAGTGGTGAGAAACCCTATGAGTGTAATGAGTGTGGTAAATGCTTCATTTTGAAGAAAAGCCTCATTGGACATCAGCGGATTCACACAAGGGAAAAATCTTATAAATGCAGTGACTGTGGGAAAGTCTTCAGTTACCGCTCAAACCTTATAGCCCATCAGCGAATCCACACTGGTGAGAAGCCCTATGCATGTAATGAGTGTGGGAAAGGCTTTACTTACAACAGAAACCTCATTGAACATCAAAGAATTCACAGTGGGGAAAAAACCTATGAATGTCATATATGTAGAAAAGTTCTTACCTCTAGTAGAAATCTTATGGTACATCAAAGAATACACACTGGAGAGAAGCCTTATAAATGTAATGAGTGTGGAAAAGACTTCAGTCAGAATAAAAACCTTGTTGTACATCAGAGGATGCACACTGGGGAAAAACCATATGAGTGTGAGAAGTGTAGAAAATCTTTTACTTCTAAGAGGAATTTAGTTGGCCACCAGAGAATCCATACAGGGGAGAAACCGTATGGGTGTAATGATTGTAGTAAAGTTTTTAGGCAGAGAAAGAACCTTACTGTACATCAGAAAATTCATACAGATGGAAAACTTTGTGAATGTGATGAGTCTGAAAAAGAATTCTCTCAGACTACGAACCTTCATCTTCAACAAGAAATCCATAATGTGGAGGAATTCTCTTGGCTCCAAAGTGCCAACGAGTCCAAGACAGACCTTCAGAAAATCTAGTGTCATTTGTAAAATGGGATAAAATCCCTGCCTACCTAAGTAACTGTTAGACAAATGGCAGTGTATGGTCCTTGCAAGGAAAAAATTCATGATTGACCCTTTTGTAGACAAATGATTTGCATGTGAAAGAATGTTAATCTAGACTTTCAAGACTACATAAACCAATTTCTAGTTAAAGAATATTATGTCCCAGACCATTTGTTATGACTCTGGAAAGGGACCTTAGAGCACTTGAAGGCTCTGAAGAACCTTATGAGATGTAATGATGTAGTTGTAAATGATAGCAAAAATATCTTTGTATTAAGAAATGGACATTGTTTCTGAAAATGTGTATATTGTACATTTTAAAAATAGCATCACTGCTACAAAAAGTCTCTATTGACCATATGATCGAGACATGTCAGACATGGAGTTGAGTGGGCAAGAGTCTGCTGTTTGAGGACAACTTAAGAAGAGTACTAGATTTGGAATTAGAAGACGGAGGTTTAGGTCCTGGCTCTTTCTCTTACTAGCTATGTGATGTTGTTAAGTCAGCCTCTAGGCCTCAGTTTCTCTGTCAGTCAAGTGTTGACATAATGCTTTCTTAAAAGGGTTTGAGGATTAAGTGAAAGGATGGTTATGAACATACTTTGTGAAATAATTTAGTTGTCAATAAAGTTGGGCAAAAGAGGTATGGTCAAAATCTAGAACGTGGCATAATGTAATATTTGTTCATTATGTCAATATTAGGACTCAGAACTTCAAAAATACTCATTTTAAGAGGAAGTATGGTGGATAGCTTACTTTGGGTTTAATAGTCTAAGAAGACTTTTTAAAAAGATAGCTTTCAGAATTTGATGGGATTAATAGATAATATGCCTAGTTTGTTTCAATGGTAAAATACTGGCTTATTATGGAAAAACAATATTATGTCCAGCTGTTAACACTGAAGCCAAGGAAAATTATTTTTCAACCTTCAGATTTGAAACCTGGCAGATGTAGAATGTCCAAGTTGAAGGACAGTCCTGTGTTGCTTTCCTTGTTCATAGGGAAAAATCCTTAACTCCAACCCCTGAGCTAATGATCCCTGCCACTTTATTCTCAGTTCTAATCAGCATTTCACCATTGCTGACATATGAAAGCTTGTTACTCAAGAAACAACATTCTGTTCCAGTACTCAGCTTACTAATAAGTTTCACAAGAACCAAGTCCTTAAAGCTCTGATTAAATCAATTCAGAATCCACCCCTGAGTGGTCAGGCCCATTACTGCCTGTGAACCAATCATTCATTCAGTCTGTTCTCTTTTGTACATTTGTAGATTTAATTCATCCTATATTCTTGAGTTGCTAATTTTATATTGTAATTCTCAAAACTCCCAATTCTGCAGCTGGACTATAAATACCTTAATATCCAGATTGTGTTTCTAATAGTAGCATTGAACTGATGTGTTGATAAATGTTAACTAATGCAACCTCAGAGTTCCTTGAGGTCTGGTTCCTCATTAGACTGAAAGGTAAACAAGAGTGAAAAATGGAAGGGCTCAAGATTTAAAGTCTTAAGACCTGGGTATAAGTCAGCTTCTGCCACTTTCCTTGGACAGATGCCTTTATTACTTGGAGCCTTGATTTCCTCATCTGTATAACAGGAGGGAGAATATCTACCTCACAAAGTTGTTATGAGGTAATGAATATGGAGATGCTTTGTATCTGTGCTATAGAAGAATCACTACAGATTATGTAATTAAAAAGGGAAAGATGTACTTTAACAGAGAAGCTGGCATTCACCTCTTAACCATCACTAAGACCAAGACAACCTACATTATCTGCCTCCTCATGTGATGCAATAAGCCAGAAGTGTAACCTGAATTTATCAAGCTTCTTAGACCTAATTGCCATTTTACAGGAAATACAGAAAGCAGACGAACAAGATAAATGACACAACAAGAAACAATTTAGAACAGGGACTATTGTATAAGAAAACTGCACTGGATTCTTCAAAAATATGAAAAAGGAAGGGGGTGATAATTGTTGAAGCTGGATGAATATTGGGAGTTAATTGTACTGATCTCTGCTTTTGTATATGTGTTAAATTTTCCAGAATGAAAGGTATAAAAAGTGGGTGAGGGAGGTTGTTTTTACAAGATATTGAAGAACCATAAGACACTAAGAGCCAGAGATAGACTCACACAAATGCCCAGTTGATTTTTGGCAAAGGTTGAACAATTTGGTAAAAGGGATAGCTTTTTCAACAAATGCTGCTGGTGGAATTTGGTATCCATAGGCAAATATCCATCCATCCATCCATAGTCAGGAGCTAGGACTAAGCAAAGAACTCAAATTACATCAAAAGCAGGCTCCATAAAAGGAAAAATGATAAATTGGACCTCATCACAATTAAAATAATTTGCTCTGCAAAAAAAAAAAAAAAAAACTTTTTAAGAGTGGTAAGACATTACAGACTTGGGGAAAATATTTGTAAATCATATATCCAACAGGATTTGTATCTATCCTATATAAAGAAATCTCAAAACTCAACAATAATAAATAGATTCATTCGTTTAGAAAATGGACAAAAGACATGTAAAGATATTTCACCAAAATATAGATAGCAAATAAACAAATGAAAAGATATTCACCATCGTTAGCCAGTAGAGAAATACAAGTTAAAAAAAATGACTGCACACGTGTCAGAATAGCTTAAAAAAAGAAAAACAGTATTATTAAATCTTGGCAAGGATGCAGAGAAACTGAGTCTTTGTCTGTTGCTGGGAATGTTAAATGATACACCCACTCTGGAAAATAATTTGGCAGTTTCTTACAAAACCAAACATGCACTTATGATATGACCCAGTATTTGTACTCCTGAATATTACCCCCAGAGAAATGAAAACAATTCAGACAAACATATGTACATGACTGTTCATAGCAGTTTTATTTGTAATAGTCAAAATCTGTAAGTAGCCCAAAATAGCTTCAACAAGTGGCCAAAACAGTATTCTATTTATACCATGAATACTTACTACTCTGCAATAAAATGGAATGACCCATTCCTGCAATGACAAGTGAATTTCAAGAAAATTATGCGGAATGAAAATCCAATCTCAAAAGGTGGTATTCTGTATGATTCTACTTATATAATATTCTAAAATGACAAAACTATATAGAGATGAAAGATTAGTGGTTGCCAGAGGTTGGGGATGGTGGGAGGGGACAGGAGGGAGAGAGAGGGGTAGCACTTAGGAAGGTCTTTGTGATGTTGGAACAGTTGTGTGTCTTGATTGTGGTAGTGATTACACAAATACACATAAAATGAGGTAGAAGTCTACACAAACATTTTACCAGTGTCAACTTCCTGATTTTTATGTTAAATGATAATTATGTAAATTGTACCTGTTGAGGGAAAATGGGGGAAGGGTATTTTTCCAACTTCCTGTGAATTGTTAAATTCAAAGTAAAAGGTAAAACAAGACCCTAAAAAAGCCATAACCAAATGCAGTGTGAAACCGATTTGAAAACAAAATGATGAAAATACATATTTTAGGGTAGTTGGGGAGATTTGAATATGACTGGATATTAGATGATATTAGGAAATTGTTAATTTTCTTACCATTATGTAATGGTATAACGTTTGGAGAAAAAGGATGCATTTTGAAGAGTTCGGAATGAAGTGGTTTGATTACAACTTTCAAAAAAATATTTTTCAGTATATAGAGAGAGATAAGGAAAAGGTAGTCAAGTGCTGAGTCCAGATGCAGGATACAGGTATTCATGATACCATTCTTTCACCTTTTCTGTACCGTTTGTATTTTCAAATAAAACGTTTGAGGCAAAATTGTCGGGGCTTTCTACAGTCAAATGCTTTCTGGCTCCAGGCTCCTGCGTATGCGCCTCGCGTAACTACTGCCAAGTCAGGGGATGTACCCTTCCCTGAGGCTCAGGGCCACAGTACACCTGCGCTCTCCTAAACACTTGCTCCCATCCCTGGTCTGCAGCGATACTGGACGCCCATCGAGAAGACAGCACCTCCGAGGTTCCTAGAGAGGCCGGCCTGGAGACTTGGGAAGCCGGAAGCCCGTCTCGAGGCACTTCCTGTCCGCTCATTGTTCTCGCGCCGGCAGGCGCAGGACGTCGGAGTCTGCGGGCCTTTTGCTATAGAGCCCGGGAGCTCCGGCCGGGCGTCTTCTGTGAACACGGTCAGTGGGGTTGGCGGTGGTGGGCACGGATGTCGCGGGCGCGGGAGGGGCCATCCCAGGGGCGGACTGCCGCGACTTCCCCTCGAGGGTCCAGGCTTGTCTGTCTCTAGGGCGGCTCCGCGTCCCACCACTTCAGAAACACGGCTGCCGCCTACCGGGGGTCTGGCCTGGGGGACCTTGGAGACGGACAACACCAGGGGCCAGGCTCACCCCAGGAACAGGGCTGTTTGGGGTATGAAGGGGGAGGAGGTGGGTTGCCACATTTGGAAATAGGGAAAGGACACTTAAAGGGAAGCCCTTGATAGGGAACTCGGTGCTGTCTGGGGTGGAGGCGTTGTGAGTTTTGTCAGCAGTCCGGTAAGAATGCTGGAAGTAGGCAGTCTTGCCTTTACACAGGTGAGATGAGTGTTAAGGGCCTTCGTACATGGTAGAATTCAGCTAATCATGGAAAGAATAATCCTCCAGAATTGAGAATTGTTGCAGGAGTTTAAGTGCTATTGTTGTTTAAGAAATTCAGTGTGTACAGTAAATTCACAGTAAGTTGACATAGGAGAAAGCATGTGATTACTTCAATAATAGCAAAAGAGGACTTAATAAAATTTAGCACTTTTTCCCCCAATAAAACATCTGAAGGGGAATAGAGAAATCTTAATTTCTTCATAATAAACTAAACTAGTAAGATCGTTTTACTCACAAATTAAACAACAACAAAGATCCACTGGCTTGGCTATGATAAAAAGGGTGTTAAGTTGGTGGTGGTGTGATTTGATGTGATCCTTTTAGAAAGCAATTTGGCACTGTATATCAACCATGAAATCCTTAAACCAGTAATCCCTCCATTCTGAAGGAATAATTCAGCAGAAGAAAAAACTTTGCACAGAAAAAAATTTAACATTAATTGTTAAGAATATAAACTGGAAACAAAACTCCTTTTACTAAAGCAATGGCTCATAAACAGGGTTGGTTAAGTTATAATATAGTTACAATTTAGAATACTATGCCAGAGTGAGGTAGCTCTGTATGTACTTATGTTGAAAGATCTATCTAAGACTATGGAATAGTGTGAGAAATACAGAAATTGAGTTTAAATGCTGAAAAATGCACGAGTGTAATCTAATCTCTTTTGGGAAAATAAGCAATATATGTAAAGGTGTACATTATCTGTATGGAAATGCAGAGAAAACACTGATGACTGATAATTACTGTGTGTGTGTGTAGGACATATTTATTTATACATATTTCTGTGTTGATCCTTTTTGGATGAGAATGACAGATTAGGAGAATTAATACTATAGGTTTTTGTATGTATAGCTACTAAAAATGATAAGCATGAAGAATGGCAACATAAAACATCTTTTTTTTATCTTAAGACTAATATAAGGCATTTGGAAGAAATGGAAAAAGTAAACAAAAAGAAGCTCAAAACTACCTGTAAATAAATACATCACCTAGAGATGACCACCCCTAAATGGTGTCTAGACTCTCAGTCTTTTTCTTGAGATTCTTTACTTTATGCTATTGTGTATCTTTGGCGATAAAAAAAAAACCTCTTTGTGTTGTAATATTCCTTCTTAAAAAAATGGTGATAATTGTGAAAATATATATCCCTATAGTTAAAAAACAAAAAGTTTAATAAGTCGTAATTGTCAGTGTGGTTGAAGGTTTTCCCTTAAAAGAAATATCTTAGATTCGGTGCTATAGTTCTTTGGAGATGGAGTAGGGCTGATATTTCTTAGTCATTTTCTGTATTTTTCAAGTTTTACAATAAAAATACATTAACTCTATAATCAGGAAAAAATCAATAAACACTATATAAAGCTGTTTGTAATGTGGTTATTATGGGAATAAATTACATGTTTGCAGTTGAACCCTCTCCATCCTATGAGGGAGGAGTAGAGCAGACTCTTGCTATAGTGGCTGCTGCCTAGGCACTGGTGAAATTGGCCAGTGGGCTTAATGGCATCCAGGCAAACCTCTGCTTGATGCTAACAATGTTTTCTGGTTTTTCAGTAGACAGTCTTCATCTTGGCCCTGGGAGGAAACTCAAGAAGAAGCTTTTGAAACTTAAAGATTAGATGGGGCTTGACCTCTGCTGGGCAGCCCCCAGCTATAAGAGTTCCTGTCCTGAGCAAAGAAGATGACTGCACAACTGAGAGAGGCCATGGCCTTAGCGCCCTGGGGCTCAGCGACAGTGAAAAAGGAGGAAGAGGAAGAAGACTTCCTAGGTCAGGCATCCAGCCAACAAATGCACTCTGAGAACACCAAAGTCTGGGCTCCTGGGGAAGGTCCTCAGACAGGCCTTGATATATCAGAACAGGAGGAAAAGGTAAATAATGGTCTGGGAAGAAAGTGGGAGGAGAGACCTGAAGACCTCAAGTGGTTTCAGGGGGGACTATGTCCCTCTGCTTCCACACCTGGAGTATTATGTTCTATCTAGGGCTCTGGCCTTTAGGCCTTTGGAATATAATAGAAACAGTCTCTTCTGATTGAGGGGACATTTAGTGCTTTCTGTAAACCAGTGGTTCTCAAACCTTGCTACACAGAATTAATTGGGGAGCTTTTTATAAAATTGTGATGCTCATGCCATAGTTGGTTCCAATTAAATGAGAATCTTGGGGTGGGACCCAGACATCTGTGTTTTTTAAAAACCTTTCAGGTGACTCCAGTCAGGATCTGATAGCTCTAACCTGTGCTGCTCAAATTTTAATATGATTTAATATCTCATTTTAATCACCAGGAGGTCTTGTTAAAATGCAGATTCTGATTCAGAAGGTCTGGGTTAAGATTCTATACTTCTCACAAGCTCCCAGATGTTGGTGATCTATGGGTTGCACTTCGAGTAGTGAGGATATAATATACACTATACTGTGCTCCATAATGTTTTCAAATACTGCTCCTTACCATCACTAGACAGACGAGACTGAGGTTCCCCAAAGATCATAATCTTGCTTCTCTGATCCTTAGACCTCAGAAAACTCTAGCCTGGAAAATCTCCCCATATGCTCTATTTGTCATGCACTCCCTGGCAAGCTAGTTTTGGATGCCAGAGTGGGCAATGAAGTGAAATCAAAGTGATAGAGAAGAAAGTTGCAGGCTTGATTGTCTATCTGACTCATGTTGGGGATCAGAGAAGACTCTGATTTTATTTTCCTTTTTTGTTGTTTAAAAAAAAAGTTAAAAAATTAAAAAAAAATCTTTTATGGTCTGCAGGAATAGGTACTTATGTTCTCCTTGTGAAAACTAATCATACCACCTCCCACTAACAATCGTCTCATAAACTGACCTGTGCTTTCTTGTCTCTAGGGTCCAAACATGTTCTGGGACATGGCTGTCATCCTGAAAGCAACACAGGAGACACCTGCTGCCTCAGCCATTGGCAGCTATTCATTACCAGGGACTCTGGCCAAGAGTGAGATACTGGAGACTCATGGAATTATGACCTCTCTAGGTAAAGTTTAACTCCCTGATTCAGAATCTGACCATTGGGGTTTCTCAAAAATCTCTTCAGAGACTGGTGGTCTGGTCTCCTAACTTGAAGAAACATAGAGTATTGAGGTATTGAAACTATCAGGGAGAGCTGGATAGAGGAATGCCAAAAGATGCCCATGCATTTGTCACAGGAAATGGCTTATTTTGCATAGTCTTAAGACACCGGACAAACACAGGTGAACTCCAAATTCACCTTTTAATCACATTTACTGATTAGCAAGTGTCATATCTATTCACACATGGAGACACATCTTCATGTGCTTTGTGTTTATCATTAGTTGGTGAGCCTGGAAGAGAAGCTAGCTAAGGTAAGAAGGGTCAATTTTTGTGATTTTGAGGAACTGTCCTGGAAATGTTCTGTTTTTATAGATATTTGTGCAGATTCCAGAGGATTTTGAGCAGGTGTGTCAACTATATTGATGTTCAAAGCTAGGTCTTCATGGATGTACAGATGACTGGCTTATCACCTAGTTCTTTCTCTAAGCTGGGACTCAGGATATGTCTGACTAGCAATGGCAGAAGCTTACCTATGGAGGAGTGACATGTAACTGTGGGTCAAGAATATGGTAGCCATGGGTCCTGTGTTGTAGAAGTAGTCTCTGGATGATTGCCAAGTTCCTTCTGGCACTCACATTCTATAAGTCTGCCTGGTACAGAGCTACATCTGAATATTTTGAACCCACTCTGCTCTCTAACCCATTTCTCAGACTGACCACTTTCTTAAACCAGTATTGTGGGAAATGTTAGGATTATCACCTTTCATTTTCTTGTCTGTTCTTTAATCATTCCCCCTGTCAGCAGCTTCTGTTGCCCACTTTTCTGCTCTCTATTCCATTCTCTCTGGTACATTCTGTGTATTATCACTTATTTTCTGTTTCCTTGCTTTAGCAGTCATTCACTGTCTTAACTCCAGCAGTGGCACCCATCCATCAGGAATGGTCACTGTTTTCCTTCTTTGCCTCTTACGTTAAGACCCTGTTCCCAGCCAAAATTTACCTTTTGTGTGCTGCCAGCTGTTTGCATAGCAGCAGGTAGCAATGACATGAGCTCTAGGAATTAAGAGAAAGATGCGAATGTAGTTGCTGCCCTGCCTTTGATAACTCTGTGACCTTGAACAAGTCCTTTCTCTCTCAACCTCCATTTCCTGTTCTGTCAACTGGGATGTATTCATTCAGTAAATACAGGATTTTTGGGGGGCCTGCTTTCTATGTGCTGGGTAGTGTTATAGGTGAGTAAGACATAGTCTTGCCCTTTTTTTTTTTTTTTTTAGCTCCCACACAGGTGAAAGAATAGTTTTATCTTGATGATAAAATCATATAATATACATGAACATGTTTTAGAAATTTTGATGTGTATCTACAGTTTCCTATGTATTAATTACTATTAGATTTATTAAAGTTTATACATTTAAAACCAAGTTTTTAAGCATTTAAACATCTTATTTTTATTTTACTTATACATCTAGAAAAATTTTTATAAAAATAAGAATATTTGTACTTTTTCTTTAATTCATGTTTAGTTAAGGCTCAGGTTTTACAGATTAATTTTTTAAACCTTTTGAAGCATTTTGCTCCACCTACATATCAATTTTTTTATATAAAAATTTCCTCATTTTTATTCTCATAAAAATATGTAAAATGTATTGTTTCAAATTTAATATATCTAATTTTTTTTTTTAAGATTTTATTTATTTATTTGACAGAGACACAGCGAGAGAGGGAACACAAGCAGGGGGAGTGGAAGAGGGAGAAGCAGGCTTCCTGCTGAGCAGGAAGCCCAGTGCGGGGCTTGATCCCAGGATCCTGGGATCATGACCTGAGCCGACGGCAGATGCCCAACGACTGAGCCACCCAGGCGCCCATAATATATCTAATTCTGTAAAACATTTCAAACACCTAAGTAGGTAGACTTTGTAATCTTATATATAAAATCTTGATAAACACACGACTTTTGTAAATCTAATAAATTTATAATGACTTACAAATTTAGTAAATTAAATCACCTTTCATCTATTATAATACAGTCACCAGCTAAGATGGCGGACTTGTATAGAATTTCAGATCTCTTTTTTAAAAAATGAAAGAAAAGTATTGATTTCAAAAGTTATTACTTTGCCTATCCTCTGGTTGATTACAAGTGCATTTTTAGTTTATTTCTGTACTTTACTCGGGTTACAGTAATCCTTCAAGATCCAAAAAAGGAAAAATACCATCTCAAACAAGCCAGAGGTACAGGTTCTACACTATTGGCTAATTAATAACCCAAGGGGATTTGAGCTTGAGTACACAGAATGAACCTTCTTTCCTTTTCTTAAACCCTGGGCATTGGCCAAGATCCTAGCTCTTACTTCATCCCTGTGATGAAACTGTTAAAATAACCACTATATGGAGACCCTTGTAGGCCACAGTTGTACCTGCTTCTATAATAATTTTGACAGAAAGCATGATGCAAATAAAAAGAGTTGTTTCTGTTACTGGTTCTAGTTGGTTCAGTAATTCCCACCAGTCTTCCCTTTCATGTTTTTCTAGTGTTCTAAATCTCATGGTAAAAAGGGTAAGAGTGAGGTCAGGTGATGGAAGTGAGGTCATAGACTGAAGTATTCTTGGACTTTGTTCTAGTTGGAGAGATGCTTAGTGGGGATGGGAGCCGCCCCCCACTGTATAAGTAATGCAGGGCTAAAGTAAAGAAGGAGGAGATGGAAAAAAGCAGGAGGGAGATTTAGAAGGGAGAAAAATTAGGTGAGATGTATGGGATAAAGAAAGTAGAGAACATAAAAGAGAAGAAAGTAATGAGCAAAAGAAAAGCAGAAGAGACATGAAACCATTACAAGGGAAAAGTCAGAATATTTCACACACACTGATTTTTAAAATAAAAACCAAGAGAGGAGAGGTGAAGAGGCAGTAGGGGAAAGGGATAGTGGGGAAAAAAGTAATATATGGAGACAGATGGTGACTATACTTAAGGTGGTAAGCATGGAATGTATGTATGGAATTGTTGAATTAACATGTACACTTGAAACTAATATAAGACTGTACGTTAATTATACTTCAGTTAAAAAAATAAAGAGAAAAAAATGATGTAAGGGCAGTTAAACTACAGGGAGAAAAATAGAATAGCTATGAGAAAGATAACAGAAGAGTAGTAATGAAATAACTGGAAAAAGACTAACATTTCAGAATTTGTTATCACATTCAGTGCTCTGCTATGCAGCCCCTCAGGCATTGCCTTTTTCCAACATCACCCATCTTATCTGAATGATTGTGAGGGGAGTGTCATATAACTATTGTCTTAACCAGGCAGCCATAATGGGCTGTTTCCCTGCCCCCCATGATGCTTTGTATTCCAACATCCCTGTCTCACTCACTCATCTCCTAGGTTGGAGAGTTGCCTGGTCTGTGCTGGTTGGATGTTTTGTAGATGCTGGATTCTCCCCTCTGCAGTTGCTGCATGATCTGCAGCTCACAGCTTTCCTGCTTCTAAGCTGACACCAGTAGGAATATCTCCCCTCTGAGAGGCTTGCCTCCCTCTGCTGTTCACCCTTGTTTCTTCTGCCTTATCTGGGTAGTGCTCCTGAGCTTGGTATAATTCAAATACTGTTGAAAGGTTCACTCTACCAACACTAGGCTGCATGGGTGCACATTCTTGGGTCAAGGGTAGTAGGGGTGGAGAGGAGACAAACATAAAGAATTATGTTACTGACTGCAGGACCCCTTTTCTGACACCATTAGGGTTCTGAGGCAATGTAGAGCAGCCAGACATTAGTCAAGAGTTTTAAAACTTCAGGATGTTTTGGTGTTTTTATGATATTGGCATAATGGAGCAGGCTCTACAATGTCTCAGACTTGACTCAGAAAGGCCAGCTTTCCTTGACACAAAGCGAAGCTGTTTGCCCAACACAAGGGTTCAGCTATTTACTCTGTTCACATTCTTTAGTCCCTTCTAGGGGTTGCCATCTATCACCATAAAACTCCTATGTCCTAAGGTTCGTCTTTGCTCCTGGGCCCCAATACATGGACCCACAGCTCTAGTTGTCCAGCTCAGAGTCACTGCAGACCCTCACAGAGCCACTTCCTATGCCCCAAGGCTGTTTTCAGGCATTACTATAGTTAATCTCATGGTTTTATGGGCTAGATACTGTTATTGTCCCTAATTTGGAGATAAGGAAACTGAGGCACAGAGAAGTTAAGTTACTAGCCCAAAGTCATGCAGCTGGTAAGTGGCAGAGCAGGTATTTGAAACCAAGCAGTCTGGCTCCACAATCCATGTTCTTAACCTCTATGCTGCATAGCCTCTCAATGTTTCAGGTACTCTCAGCTGTTGTCCTTTTGGTATCCACTGTGACCCATTCTTATCCTTTCTTTGATATCCAGCTTCCTCATACACAAAAGTCTAAGTTATATAGATCTTCATTTCCAGGGACGGAATCCCCCTAATTAATTGGTGGGTTGTAAGCAATCCACACTAAGTGGCTAAGGTAAGGAGGCAAGCCTGGGGAGAGATTGATGTCTTTCATAACTGGTCTTAATTGTAAGATCATTCATCACACAACCAGGAGAGCTGTCTGGAGATGGCTTTCCTGGCATGAGGCAGTGGGTTGGATATCTAATGGAGGTAAGTGGAAGTGCTGGAAAATCCATAAATCAGTGGATTCTGCTCTGGGTGTCGGGGAGAGAGGTGACACGTGAGGGGAATTCTTTCCTTTGATGAAGCCATTTTATGTACACTGAAGTCATATACTTCCTGACATTTATCACTTGATGATTCTTTTCTTTTTCTAGGCCAGAATAAGCTGACATTTGTACTTTCTGTTTGTTGTTTCAGGTGCTGAAACCAAGAAGCCACAGTTACTGGTTCCAAAAACTGAGATATATGATGAAGCAGAAAAACCATTCATAAAATCAGGAAGAATCCAGAAAGTTAATCCTCAAGGACCTGAGTTAGGAGAAGCCTGTGAAAAAGGGAACATGTTAAATAAGCAGGCAATTAAGAGGGAAAAGAAAGATTTCAGACATGTGACAGTGAAGGACTGTCATGTACCTGAAAGCTTCAAAGTAGAGGAAGATCAGAAATGTCAGAAATCTGGGGAAAGATACAGCTTTAGTTCTAGCTCTGTTAAAAATCAGAAAAGCCAGCCTGGACAGAAACCTTTTACATGTAGTGTATGTGGGAAAGGCTTTAGTCAGAGTGCAAACCTCGTAGTGCATCAGCGAATCCACACAGGGGAGAAGCCCTTCGAATGTCATGAGTGTGGGAAAGCCTTCATTCAGAGTGCAAACCTTGTTGTACATCAGCGAATCCACACTGGACAGAAACCATATGTTTGTTCAAAATGTGGGAAAGCCTTCACTCAGAGTTCAAATCTGACCGTACATCAAAAAATCCACTCCTTAGAAAAAACCTTTAAGTGCAGCGAATGTGAGAAAGCCTTCAGTTATAGCTCACAACTTGCTCGGCACCAGAAAGTTCACATTACAGAAAAATGCTATGAATGTAATGAGTGTGGGAAAACATTTACTCGGAGCTCAAACCTCATTGTCCACCAGAGGATCCACACTGGGGAGAAGCCCTTTGCCTGTAATGATTGTGGCAAAGCCTTCACCCAGAGTGCAAATCTTATTGTACATCAACGAAGCCATACTGGTGAAAAGCCATATGAGTGTAAAGAGTGTGGAAAAGCCTTTAGTTGTTTTTCACACCTTATTGTGCACCAGAGAATTCACACTGCGGAGAAACCTTATGATTGCAGTGAGTGTGGAAAAGCCTTCAGTCAGCTGTCTTGCCTTATTGTGCATCAGAGGATTCACAGTGGAGATCTTCCTTATGTGTGTAATGAGTGTGGGAAGGCCTTCACGTGTAGCTCATACCTGCTTATTCATCAGAGAATTCATAATGGGGAAAAACCTTACACGTGCAATGAATGTGGCAAGGCCTTCCGGCAGAGGTCAAGCCTCACTGTGCACCAGAGAACCCACACTGGGGAGAAGCCCTATGAGTGTGCCAAGTGTGGTGCAGCTTTCATTTCTAACTCGCACCTCATGCGACACCACAGAACCCATCTTGTTGAGTAACAAGTATTTGTTACTCCAGGCATTGATCATAATCCACTACACCCTAATTGGACACTTCTTTGCTGTTACGTTCCTCTAAAAATGAGGCCCACCATATTCTTAACAGTTTTCAGGAGTGTATCATAGAACATAAACATTTCAGAAGCTTACTTAAAGTGAAAGCTAAACACCTAAAGGCAAGGACTGTGTTTTTTAACTGTCATCATGTTTGAAATGGAATGTGGCTTTCTTAGAAATGGGTCACACAAGGCTAAGTGATAAAGATCCTATTTGAGAAAAGGTATTTTAACTTAATCTTGTTTTTAAAAACTTGTAATTTCTTGAGCAACAGGCAGGTTATTGGTATAGGTCTGCTTGGTGGAATTCTGGAGCTTTGAATCTTGTATTTTGGGTTAAGAAGTAATGACTAAGGAAACTACTTGGGGTAGCAATTCACCAACAACTCACCTGTGAACATTTATAAGCTTTCCATTCCTTAGGCAATTTAAACATTAAAAGAAAAAAAAAAAAACATTAACTATCTGCTGCTCCTAAAATAGAAGTAGGAAACAGCTGTTTCTTTTAATCCTCTGTACCTCATGAACCTTGGTATGGTAAAGCTCTGGGGAGATCTCGAGTCTTCCATTCTGCAATTTGTGTGGCCAAGCACTTGAGGATTGATGGCGACAAAACACTGGGGCCATAAATGCTGCCAGGCAGTATTCATTTGCTAACATCAACTCTCCAAGTGACCCTAACTTCCGTTGCATTCCATCAGAGTGAGATGCCTCTAACAGTCCCCTTCTCACATAGAGGAGTCAAAGAAAGCTTGCTGAGAGGCATGCCCACATTATCTATGCTCATTCTGTTCAGGCCCAGCCAGGGGGCTCAGTTTGGGTGTCATTCTCACTTTTTGGCTGGTCTTTAGAAGAAATAGTGGAGTCCTAAAAATTTAAGAGGACCAAAGAGGGAAATACAGGGAGAGGAAGGAGGCAGAGTGGGACTCCTAAGGGTCTTTATTTTTTTGAGAAGCTCAAAGGTATTGGAATGTGAAAACTTAGAAAGATGAAGAAACTGGCTAAGGTAAGATAACCTTTGTTACCATTGAGCCTTTATTCCTGGAAAAAATGATTTATAGAACTATGCAATAGGTAGAGCTATGTAATATTGCCTTGTATTTAATATAGAACTTAATTCTTTGTTTATACACCTTCATGTATAGAATCATAATCCCCAGCGCTTCTCTTATGCTTTCACATAGATCCTTACTTTAATCCTTAGAACGCTGAAAGAAGTGTTTGCCCTATTTAGTTAAGAGTGGTCAAATAACAAAGAACAGCCTACATTCAAATCCAGGACTTAAATCCAGGTTCTCTGTTCTGCCATGCTGTGTCTAACCACCTGTATCTAACCACCCAGATCTGCGGAGAGCCTGAGAAAGGGGTATATGGCTCATTTTCAGGTGAGGAAGCTGAGGTAACAGATTTTAGGATGTGCCTTAGGCCGTGTGACCAGTAAGCAGCAAATCTGAGACTGGAATTTGAGTCTCCCAAGTTCTGGGTCTGTGTCTTCACCCCGCTTAGTAAGCAAGAGCATATCATAAATGCCCTACCTGGTGATAAGCTATCTGATGCAACTCATGTAGAAGTCCCACCATTGGGACTCTTACTGGCTCATTTGTTTTCTATTTTACAGAGCGCTTTCATGTACAGAAGGCATAAACAAAGCTTATTTCCTCTTTCTACTCCCCTTCAACCATAGTCTTTCATCCAAGCATGTGCACCACCTTTTCCCAGTTTGCAGTCTAAATCATACACAACTCTAAGAAATTAATAGGATTCAAAAGTGAGAATCAAAAATGCTCATGTACTCACTGACCTTGAAAGTGACTGTTCCTGTCCCCCAGCTGGGAGTGGAGAGACCCAAGATAACACCTGTGTCTGCTGAGGAACAAGCTTAGGTTTTTCCCGCTGCAGGATCAGGAAGCCCAGAAGAGAGGGAGAGCAGGTCTGAAGATTGGGGATAAATCTGTGACCTGGACCTGTCCAGAGACCAAAAGTGTACTTTCCTGAATGATACTAGCCAGGTTAGGATTCTTACGGCAGTTAAATTGTTTTAGCTTCACCTTGTATGTTCTTCCTCCTATTTGAATGCTTGTCATGGATGATTGTGATTTCCTGGCTAAAGATTGCTGTTCATAGTTCAGAAAAGGCTACGTAGGTGATTGTGATGCAAAGCTGGATTTGGGAATCACTCACCCAACCTTGCAGTGAAACAGTGGTATTCACTTGGCTGCATGTTAGAATCACCTTGTGTACTTAAAAATTTTTTTCATTCCCAGGGCCAGGTATTTTTTTTTTCAATTCTGGAGGGGAACCCAATGTGTAACAAAGGTAATGGCCAATGCAGTCTAGTAAAGTCTGCAGACCACAAATGCATCTGATCAAAGGTGGAGTGGGGAAGCCCTAGTATAAGGATGTGGATGTGCAGAGTGCTCTGTGCTTTCAGCAAAACAGAATGCCAACAACATTGGCTGCACTGGGTGTCCTGTACCTTGGCTGTAAGGATTGTGTTCCCTAACTTTATTTGTATTTTAAATGAATATACCAAATACTTTATATATATGAGCAAACCAAGTTTTACACATTTATATTCTTCATTCAACAAAATGACTTTTTACATTTGTACTTTATTTCATCTCCAGGTCTTGGTTTCCACAAACCTGCACACAGGTTCAGGACCTTCAATCCTGCACAAATCATGTGAGCCTAGTGGATTACCAGACAGACCAGATCCTTACCCAACTAACAACTCTTACTTCCAGCTCATTTCCAGCCCTCAAAATAGATTACCTGCCCTCCTTTTTCTGTATGGTTTCGGGTAGATGAGAAGTGACTACTACTATTTGTCACCGTTGGCTTAGGTTTTCCTTTTCCTAGAGGTCAACTCCTTTCTCCCTTGTCTGTTATTTCTAGAAGTGGATGGGAACTCAAGCCCTGTTTCTTAAGTTGCTAAGAGCAATCAGAGTTTTAGTTATCAAAGAGCCAGGCCAATTGATGGGTATTAAGAGTAGAGCCAGAAGTCTCAAGTGAGTACAACAGTTGTGTATTAAGGAGAGCACAGTGATGTGAAAGTGATAATAAAATCTTGTACTTTGAGGGGCATAGGAGAGACTCATCATTCACACACACACACACACACACACACACACCCTTCAATTGCCCATGGATTACACACACACACACACACACACACACACACACACACACACCCCTCAATTGCCCATGGATTCCTCCAAGCTCAGGAAGAGGTCTTTGGGCAAAGCTAATCTTAACTCTGTGTTCTGGGTCCCTTCCCTCCCTTGCCTAGGCAGTTGTCCTTTCACATCTGTCACTTTGCTCCTCCATCCAGTGTGCTCAATCTTCCTGGGCTCGCAGTCCCTTTGAGGATCTAATGGAAATTGTAGATCCTCTTCCAAAGAAATGCAGATAGCACATTCAGTTTTTTGTTCATTTGTGGGGTCATATAGGCTCCCTGAGACCAGTTCTTGAATCCTCTAGGGCCTAAAGTCACACTTGGGGATGCACTACATAATTGCCAGTGGCATTTTTAAAAAATGAGGTCAGAAGTTATGGATGTTGCCCAAACACAACCTTCTAAATCTTGCTTTTCCTGGATTCCCTCCTTAAGCATTATCCAGCACCCAAACTGGAAACTCAGGAGGTATTTCTGGCTTTCTGTGTATCATTCTTTTGCTACAACAGTACTTTTCACTCTCTTTGTGGCAAACATAGTGCTAGTTCCTGGAGTGCAAAGGCAAACAAGGCCTACCAAATCCTTCTGATGTTTCATAGGAAACCTGTCCATACCCTTTAACATGATTTACTAAGTCTTCATAGTCTCTTTCCAACCTAATCTCTCCACTTTCCATGTACTTTTTACTGTAGCCTGGAGGTTTGTACTTGCTTTTCTCCGTGCCTTTGCTCACACTCTCCCCGGTGCTTATTATCACCGCTTCTTATCCATCTCCTGCCTACTTTGCCTAGCTTTAGATTTCTTTTAAGGTTTGATTCAAGTCTCATCTTTGGGAGCCCTCTGATTGCTCTTTAGCAAGTATGTATTTAGAAGTATGGAAGAGCATATGGTATGTTTCCACTTTATGCTTTAAAGTGAAAAAAATGGATTCATAATTGTGTATATAGTACAGTTCTCATATAATGTTTCATATACTATGTACTGTTAAAAAGTAATTGATAAATTGCCTGAAGGAAATATAAGAAAATGTTGTAAATGGTTAAGTGACATATTCACAGCCATACAAATGGTAAATTGCAGAACTTAGGTTCAAACCCGGTCCTATAGATTATAGAATTATGGGTGATTAAAAGTCATTTTTTTCTTTTTAAGTAATTTCCACATTTTCTATAAGGAACAAGAATTTTATAATCAGGAAAAAAATAAATTATATTTACATACTTAGTTTTATTGTATTAACTATAAACAGTATTTTAATTCTGTATTTTAAGATGTGGGATATACCCTGCCATTTCTTTCTCCTTCCCTATCCACCTCTCTGCCTCTAACAATGTCAAGTCTGATTCTTGAACTCTATTCTGTAACCATAGTTAGTCTTTTATGCTTTATTGATTTGTTCTAAAAATTGAAAATAAACAGCATGAATGTTGTTAAGACCATGTAAATATTGCAGATCTAAGTAGCTTACTGTGATTACACACACACACACCCCCACTCACTCACTCACTGAATTTTGTTTTTATTGGAGTTTTTAGTTGCCTTTTTTTCCCCCTTGTACGGGTTGCCTTTAGCACACTCTGAGTGATTTTCAGATTCTCCATCCAATTAGATAACTCTGTTGAGTCCTCTTTTTTCTCTTCAAGAGATCTCTAGCTTCCTGCACTGGTTTGTCCTTGATGTTTTTCTGCCCACTGTTTTGTTGTTATACAGGATTTCGTTGTGTCCTGAACTGTACATGTTGCTCTTTTTTCATTAACTCCTTAATT